AGTAGTAGTAGTAGTAGTAGTAGTAGTAGTAGTAGTACGATTACAGATTAGCCTAATGCTTTGTATTGTCTTTGGTCACACTCTTTACACTGTATTTACTATTGTTATTGTTGTTGTTACTAATTTTGTTCTTCAGTCTATTAATGGTGTCGCATAAACGAGGATCCTTGATGTGATCCAATGTAGGATTCCCTTTGGATCCTTTTCCTAGTGGTTTGTTGTTATTGGTGGTGGTTATATTTTTGGTATCTGTCAGATTCGAATTTGGGCCCAGGCTTTTGGGTAGGAGTGACTGGCTTTCTTTAATTTGGTTGTTGTTTTTAATTACTGGTTGATGAAAAGCTCTAGTGATCTGTGTCTGTGCCTGTGCCTGTGCTTGTCCTTGCGGATATAGTGCAGATGCAGTTTCAGATGCATTTGAGTATGCGTTGCTTTCCTCTGATTCATGCTGACAGTTTTTTGAATCTCTTCATTCAAGTTACCTGTGATGTCAGTGTTGTATGAAATAATTTTCCGTTTATTGAATGTGTTGGTATTATTTTTAGCTGTAGAGGATTTGACGACCTGGTTCAATAATTGACTTTCCTTGTGATCAAGGCTTGAGAAGTTCTCTTGAACGAACTGGGGCATTTACTTTTGAAGCTGCACCTAGCATGGCTCGCTTTGCTTCCCGATAGGATACGTTATCATAGGCCATGACAGTGTTGATTCTGGCTTGAAGTTTGTAAATTTCACATTGGTAGTCTGTGCTTCTGTGGGCTTGCCCACAGTTGACACACTTTGGTGTAGATATTTTGCAAGGTTCTTCGTGCCTTTCTTCTCCACAGAACATATACACAGTTCATTTTAACTGCACCTACTTGTATCCCTGGATTTTTCGATAATGGGCCAATCGGAGATGGCCGATGAACTCGTACGGTATGGATCATGACAATCCCGCATTCTTCTTCTTCATATTTTCTTACTAATGCAAAGGCATAGTCCTCTGTTTCCAGAGTATAGATAACGTTATTTTCTCCTATGTCTTCAACTTTATCGACATAACCATCGTAGATTACAAAGTATTTGCTATGCCCGCATTCGCCGTTGTCTACCGAAATCCAAAATTCTGTACTGCCGTCACTGCCTATGCATGTTTTTCTTGATGCTGAGCATGCCGTCCCCGAGATTAGTTGCACCTTGTTTGCTTCCAAATTTACTTTTGCCGAATAGTCCTTTAGCTCGATGTCCATCCATCCTGTCACGACGATGTCATTAAATATTCCTTATGCATCCACGTATTTTGATTCACCTTTGCAAGATTTGTCAGGACCTACCCAACCTGCGAATGTCATTGGTTCCGATTTGGATCCGTTTCTAGGTATGTCTGCTATTATCGTTCCTTGATAAGTGTACGTGCCTGACATGTGTAGCGCGTCGCATTCATCCCTTGTAACTTCCTTGTAATACTGTATCTCGCCATTTGCAACGAGTGAAATGTGTGAATGCATTCCACACGAAAATACCGTTCTTTTTATCATTATTTTGCATTCCTTTACCGTCACGAGTCCATAGTCGTTGGTTTGTACTAGCTGAGCTCTTATTTTGCTTGTCTTTACCTTGGGTTGGTCGTCCTTACATTTTCCCACGTCAACTAACGATATTGTTGTCAGGTTCGTCAATTGTGTTCCACAGTCATAGCCGTAGATTGATTCCGACTCCTTGATGATACCCAGCAGCGTGATGATGATGACAAATAGATGCATATCTATAAGTAAGGGTCAATTAGTTTCGGCGATTTTGGCACTTCGTAGCCATCGTTTGACGAATAAGTTAAGTTCTGTTCGAGTAGTTGTATGTTTGATTTAGATATTTTGTGTTTTAACTGATTCTGTTTTCTCGAGT